AGAGTAAAAACCGCGATATCTAAGGATTGGTCGAAAGTGCGATTGCCCAGTTTTCCGCTTCCTTTTTTCTCTCTCCGTTTGGCCGAGGGGCGGCGGTCGGCCGGAAGGGCGGCGTTTCCATCGCTGAGAAAAAGTTAATAGCGTCGAGAAATTAGCCCGACAGGGGGGCGAGAGTAGAAAACCCGTACAGGAGTCCCGGTGGCAGCCCAGGCCTCTCTGTATCGGCGGAGCGAGCGAGCGAGGGAGGAGAAGCAGCGAAGGGGGAGCAAGGGTGATGGTTGATCGCGGGGTTGCGTTTCACTGGGGTGTTCTGCACAGATGCAACGATAGCAACAGTTCGGTCGGCTCGTTCGGACAGGAGGCCACATATGAGCTCGCTGGCACACGGCATCGTATGGGCTTGACTCACACGCATCACGCGCAGTCATCCATCATTGTCAGTCTCTTCACTGACACAGCCGTTCGTCCGGTCTACGAACGCGCATACGGGACTCTCTCGATTCGAGATCCTCTCTTTCTCTCTCTATCTGCGCCCTTCTATAGTATACCGTACGCCTCGAGCTCTGATTCCTCGCGAAACCGAGCTGAACCCGAGAAGTTTACGCACGGCACATTGGGACGATTGCACGGGAAACCGGATTGATAACGTTGAACTTGACGCGGCGGATGGGTGAAGAGGGGAGGAAGAGAGGTGAGCAGTAGATAGAGGTAATAAGGTGAGTTTGTAGCGGAGAAATGTAAATTGAGTTTTTAACAGGTTCTGGACGGCGGCGAAATTTATGGAACGAGAACTATTGCTAGTGGCTCTTAGGAACGAAGTGGCTATTGCGATTAATACTGCATTTTTTGGTGTGTAGTTTGAGGACGCGGTGATTCACCGCTGGATCGCTCTTTTTATTCAAGCTTTTTTCAGGTTGTATCGACTGATAAGAGCATCGATGACCCACGTGTTAAGGGAGGAACGTTTAATTCTTGTGAAGCGATAGTGTGTATAGATCGGTGTTTCTTTAAGTGGTTTCAAAGAGGTGAGGTGGGAATTTATTTTAGATACAATTTTTGTATTATTTAATGTTCTATTAACATTAGAATTTAATAAAAGTTGATTTTAGAAACACTATTTAGTTCATTTAACATCTTCTTTAAATTAGAACTTTGGGGGTCGTCCATGAGACATACATTTTTGGAAAATCGTATAAGATAATCCTTGACAAAATTAATTTAGCAACCGTTGATGCAGATAATTCTGTAAACAGAAGAGTGACAGTGTTCTCGGAAAAATTTTATCTCTAAAAAGCGTAGTATTAAAATTTTCGTAGAATAACTTTAGCATCTCAATTTTAAATGGATCAATCCCTATAAAATGCCTAACAATGACTAACGCTACTCCAAACAAAATTCACCGTTTAAACAAACCAGAAAACCAAAAACCATAGCAATATTCCCATTTGAACACTAAGTTCCTAAAAAACTTCATCGGAGTGTTGGTAAAAATGACTGGATGGTACGTGTTCCTTGCTCGATAATGTCCTCTCAATTATCACTGATACGGCAATCAGAACGTTACGTACCAAGTGCCTTCGGGGGACGTCTGAATTTTCGAGGATCCCGTGGCCTTAGCCGCGTAAAGATGAGCAGGCCGAAATGTATGTATTCGGATCGGCGTTTCCTGCGAGCCCCGCGGTGTCGGACGAAGGAAGCGACGATGATGGATGACTCGAAATATCAGAGCAATCGAACTGAAATATTATTTTTAGCGCGGCTTCTCGCTCGCGCCGCGCTGGATCCATATTTTACCGCGGCGATGCGCCCGCATTTATCACCCTATTAAAATTGATTCGCGCGCGCAAATTGCGCTCTGTCTTCGGAAATCCCGCTCCCCTCGTCCTTCCAACTCTCGTCGTCTTATATCCCCTGTATCATTCCATCTGGAAACGTTCAATTTTCATTTTACCCGAAG